TTCGTTTCTCTAATAAACTTTCATTTGATATACTTCCTGCTCACTATGAAGCTTATAAACATGTAATTGATTTCTTTCTTTAAATTTTTGAATCCATCTATTTGAAAATTATATTTCATCTTCATATATATCAATGAGTTTGACAAATTCTCTTCTTTTTTCTTTAATTAACTGATCATTGAACTCAATAGCAGCTGCGGTTACTTGTTCTACTCAATAACTTAAAACTTTATTTAGTAGTGGAAATTTTACAATTTTGTGTTTAATTTTTTTTTCTGTATTAATTTTACCATTTAACTATTTTTTACTTTCTTTTGTTATTTTTGAAATAGTTGACTGAGAAATATTAAGATCTGAATATTTGTGATTAAAGTAATCCATAATACTGTCATGTTTTATTCCATAATAGTCTTTAGCATATTGACAAATCTCCTTATGAAGACTATCAGTAATTGTAGCTCATTTTGATTTTTTGTATAGAGATTCTGACATTAAACAATTTAACTAATCTGCAAGAGATTAAAAAGAAAAAAATTAGTGTAAGAAACTTGTTACAATAAAAATTGAAATATATTTTTCAGATCTGATGTAAGGAAAAAAAGACTATACATAAAAAATGGCAAGATGAAAATTAGAGTTTTCAAAACTTGAAAGTAAGTGTGAAATTGATGAATTTTTGTGACTGATTTATGTAACTGTGATTTTGAGGTTGATTAAGTTTTTTTTTTTTAATGATTATCTTTTTTCTATTATTTTTATATCTTTTACAAAGAAACAAAGAATTATGACAAAAAGTAAGATAGTTATATACTAGTTTTAGATCTGTTTTTTCATTCGCGATTCCTGGGACTGATCATTGATTACATGGCCCGAATTGTGTAATTCAACTTTTACCTTTTCTCTCCTAGTGGAAAAATCATATTTGCAAAAATGGGGAATATTAAAGCCAGGTAGTATCATATAATAGGTGGTGAATGATTTTTTTCTTTTTATTTTTCAGAAGAATAAAAAGAGGGATAGAACTAGAAAAAGGAGAAACGGTAAGAGAGATAGGTAGAAGTAGAGAAGTATAGTAGTCACAGAAAAATGAAAGGGAATGAGAAACTGGAAGAGTGATATAACAGAGAAATGGAAGAGTGGTAGGAATGAAGAAATAGATATGAAGAGAAAGTAGGAGAGAAATGAGGATAATTTTTTTTTTCTAAGAGGTAGAACCAAAGAAAGAAGAGGATGAGAGATAAAATGAAATATAAAGAGAAATAGGTAGATAGGAATAAGAATGGAGGTAAAAAAAATAGAGTAAATGTTTAACTTGATTATTTTTTGTTTTTAGAAGATATAAACAGAAAGACGAAGAAGTGAAGAAATAGAAAAGAAGAGAAATAGGAGGGTAAAATGGAAAGAGAGGTAGGTAAACGGTGTATAATTGTTTAAATTCTTTTATTCTTTTAGATAGAAAAGGAGAAATATAAGAGAGTAAAATGGAAGGAGATAGGAAGGTAAAACAGGAAGATAGATAGGTAGGAATGGATAAATGGCATAGAAGGGTATTTAAAATTTTTCATTAATTAATTCTTTTTTTTTTTTAAGAGGTGTGTGCAGAGAAATGGGAAAGAGAAGAAATGTAAAGGAAGAATGAGAGTGATAAATGAGAGATAGAAAGGAGGATGGAGTAGCGATAGAGATGGAGATAGAAAGGAGGTATAAACTAGATAAATAAGGAAGAATAGGGAAAGGAATATGATGTAAGAAGAAAAGAACAATATAAAGGAAAAAGGAAAACAAAAAACAAATAAAAATAAAGGGAAAGGGCAGGTGAAAAAATGCAATATTTTTTAATTAATTAATTATTTTTTACAATTTAATTTAATTTAATTTTTAATTTTTTTTTATTTTTTTATTTTATTAATTTATTAATTTTGTTTTTTCATTTGATTATTTATTAGATATATCAAGATTTTTTTAATTTCTATTAAATTTATCTTGTATTAATAATATTTTATGCATATTTTATGGAAATATATAAATGAGCTTATTATGTACAATAAGTATTTGTTATATTAATATTATAAAACTATACAAAAAATATGATTTAATTTATAATTATATAGTTTTCAATCTGATATTTTGATCAAGTAAAAAAGCACATTTTCAAAATAATTGACTTATTTCTAGCCAATTAATATACTGTACATCATATGACATTTGTTCTTATATAGAGGTAAATTATATGTAGTTGTTTTATTAAATTATGTTTCAGTTATATAGAGGTTGTTCTTTTATAAAGAGAAATTTTTAATTAATTAAATTGATTTCATAAAAAAATGTTCTTAATAAGAGATGTTTCTTTATAATGGGTTCTTTTATAGAGGTTTGACTGTATATATTTATTTATCTTTATTTATTTTATAAATTTAATAATTTTTATAAAACTTTTTTCACTGATTTACTGACTACACATAAAAAAGATGTTTATAAAAAGTTTTTTTTTACCCCTTTGCTAAAAAGTCATAAATACTTTTCTTAAAACTTTCTAAAAGGTAACTTTAAGAATTATTTTTACCCTCTCTTATCTATTTACAATCCTCTTTAATCAAAAACTTGACTTCTGATAATTAAAAACAAATTAAGTAATACCTTTGATATTAATGGCAAGAAAGTTTTCAAAGAAAAAAAAACTAATAGTAAAATATATGAAAGTTTTCTTCACATTTGAAGCAAGAGATATATAAAGTTTTTTGATGATAGAAGAATTTATTTTTTCCCTTTCCAGATACTTATGAGCCTTTTAGAGCTATTGCTTTTATAGATTTCTAAAGAATTTTATCTACCTCAATTTGATCCTGAATTTTGAATAATACAAATCTTTACTAAAAGTAATTAATTAACATGAAATATATTGATTTCAGGAAAAGTAAACAAGCTTCTATTGGTTATACTTACATATTCTTATTATATTATGTATAATATATAAAAGAAAGTTTTAAAGACCTGTGGGTCAATAGCACAGTGGTAGTGCTTCCAAGTTACAATCATAGAATTTGTAATTCAATACCATTTAAGGACCAAAATCAAAAATTATTATTCTGATCAGGTTTTACCAGTTATCTTGGGAAAGTTGTATTCAATTATCTGAAACAGATTCAAATTAGATCAGGCTGAATGAAGATGTGACTTCTGAACTTCTTTCAATTAGGAGCTGAGATTTACAGTCATATTACTGAAAAGATTATAAGAAGAAAGACTTTTGGTCTAGTCTATTATAAAATGCTCCAAAAGACTCCTGTCTTGGCAGCCTTCAGGACCTATGTCCTTTTAGCTTAAGATATTATAATCTGATGCTTCACTTAAATAAAAATCAATCATATGGAACTGATCTGATACCCCAGATGGCAATAAAAAAGAAAATACTCTCTTTTGAGGTCTGAGTAAATAATATCTGGAAGTATTGAAGGGTGAATCAAATCTTGTCAGGTATACACAATACAACTTAGTTTAGTGAATATAATAAAAATTTATAAAAAACTCACTATTAAATTAGCCTGTTTTACTATTAATGACTGTGTATTTGACTATCTGACTCCTAGCTAGGTCTCCACACTCACAAAGTGATAGCAGATTCATCTATAGTAAATCACGATAGGTTATCATTAATCTAAATAGATATAAAAATATATAATTTATATGAAATCATTGATGTAACTGTTATAGGATTTAATTATCCATAAAATTAAGTTAACTCTTAATAAAGCCTATATATAATACCAATTGCAGTTTAAAAAAAAAAAAAGTTCTAAAGGAAGTTCCTTTATAATTATATATATTTAACTTCAGAAAATAGTTATGATATCAAAAGATGGAATGAATTTATATAAAGAAATTTCATCCCTTTTCTAAGTTTCTCAAGTGATGAAAAGGCTTTCTAAGATAGAAGCTAATATCTTTTAATTTCTCTTGGACTATTCTAATTCAATGTATACTTAAATGAAAACTTATTTGATATTATAAATAATAATAAAGAAGACTCTTTTTAAGATTCAAATGAAGCAAAGAAAAATATCACAATTAGGCAAGACTTCTTTTGAGAAGAGGTTATGAAATAGAGCAAGAATCTTTTGGAGGGCTTTAAAATGTTTTTTATTTTCTCCTTTCCTAGTTTTAACTTTAATAATTTATTATTTTTTTGAAATAATCAACAGTGACAAACTATTGATAATGATACTATTTGACTTAGAGATACTATACTAAGCTATCAGAAGAGTGTAATATTGTTCTTTAAATCTGATTTAGAATATATTTCATATTTTTTAAGTAGTATAATCCTTTAACTAATAAAATATAAAGATGAGTTAGTTATTACATGAGAAGGTCTATAAACTATTTTAATATTTTCTTAAGTACTTAATAAAGACAAGCCATTTCAACATAATTGTAGATTAAAAAATTTTTTTTTTAATAATTAATTAATTATTTTTTTTATAATACTAGCTCATCCTTGTGCTAGGATGACTGTTTTATTATAATAAAGATAGTATCTAAGGACAAACAAAATGAATAATTACCTGTATTGTCTAAGGATTTACACAACACGTGTATCAAATTTTCTTTTATCAAGTAAATCAGAACCAGAAAATTTTTGACTATTTTCAACCAATATACATAGTTTCTTTTATTGAGAGTTGACCATAATGACGATATCCAAATTCAAATAACAGATTGTTATATAGCATGACCGAGGCCTTCGTATAAATATACCATCTTTTTTGCAATTAAATATCACTTATGGTAATCAGTTAATTATCAATTGATCCCAGATTCGTTCCATCCAATCAGATGGAGTTTCACCTCCTGCTGATTGTTACTATAAATTCTAAATCTGATAGACTAACTCGTGGTTTTTTTAATAATGTCTATACACGAATATTTTGAAAGGGCATCAAAGTGGAATATTACTGATTTCTTGGAAGAGTGCATATACTACAACTCGAGATTATTCTGACATGGAGAAAGGCAAAAGAAGGGACAAGGCACGTCTGTTGCTAAATAACTATAGGAAGGCAAGTATGAGTCTTTTTCTTTGAAAACATAAATGGCGTTATGAGGTTCTTAGAGAATCCTTATAATTCAAGACTTCGGGTTCAGCCACAAAGCTAGTGTTGGGGCACCAGGTAACTTCGGGTTCATCTGGTGTTCAAGCCTTCGGGGTGACCCAACACCAGCCCTTCTGGGACATTGGGTAACTTTGGGTTCATCTGATGTTCAAGACTTCGGGGCAACCAGTGGGACATATACCAGACAAAGGATTGTAAAAGTACTAGTTGAGAATATTACTAAATTTTTCGTTTGTCCTAGCATGAACGGTCCGATTATAAAGTAACACGAAAATGGGAGGAAACTAAGAAGCACGATTCGGCCGGTGGACCCTCGTTTGTAATTTCGGGCACTGTAGTTGGACCTGTTGGGTTCAATGAAGGAACCATTAATTCCGAGATCGATAATTTCTTTCAAGGACCCTCTAAACAAAAAATAACGGAAAACATAAACAATAAACGAGAAATTTCCAACGAAACAGATAAAGAAGAGGATGAGGTATGGTCTTCACATCGAAGCAAATTGTTCTGATTAATTTATAGTAATCAAGTGCTAACTGGTGAAATTCTTTTAGATCGAGTCAGAAGCGTTTTTTATATCTGATGAAGATGATAATTCGGGTTATATATTAAGGTATCATAATTGATTTTTGAAATTTCTTCGAATTTTTTTCCTAGGCTCGCAACATACTTTTTTTCGTAATACCAGCGATTTTGAAGATGAGATCCCTTTCCCCCAATTGTTGTTGTCACCACAACTCGAGGATTTCCGGGAATCCTACAAAAAAATGAATGTAGTTCATAAGTGGATTCTCGCTTCTGGAAAGTGCGTCGAAGACACCCTTTTCGAATATTGTAGACGGCAGCCAGTTGAATCACTCCTACATTCATGGATTATCGACCTTGATGATCACGAAGTAAATTCGTTATTTACAACTGAAGAATGGAATGAAATACAGTGTGCTGTAAAAATTTTGCCAGAGGTTGATCGTACTTTTGCAAATTCTATGATGCGATTTTCAGATGTAAGTTGAGGATAACTAGCTTTTTTCAATCTGTCCAGAACTTGATGCTATTACCAATTTCAGGTTAAAACAGCAAGCGATCTGAGACGAGTCTTAAAAACATCCTTTTTAAATGAGAATGAACATTATGATCGAGTGAAACATTACGATGCTGAACGAGCCGAATCGTGATGAGGAAGTTGTGAGTATTTACCTTTTATCGGCGATATTATTACAAAGACTTACTAAAATACACTCCATTTATTACTTAAAGTCTTACGTATTATGAAGACCCTAACGAAACACTGCAAAAGCAACATCTCGAGTCCTGGTATGACATAAACGTGTGGTCTCTTATCATCGATCACGGTCTCTGCAATGTGATTGGAATGGAAACTGTCAGGTACGTCTCCTGTGATTATCATAATTAATTCGTTACAGTTTTGGACTTTGTAACTTATTTTTTTCACAGAAAAGAACCGAAAAGTGTAGCGGTAACCATGCGGAAAAACCGAAAGAGGCCACGCACGCGTCGCAGAAAGTCAGTACGTAAAAAGATGTGATATCGGATGGATGGAATATTCCGGATGTACATTGGTGATGTTGAGTATGGAGCGACTGAAGTGGCCAAGACGTTTGATGCAACCAAACTGCTGACCGATGGGTTTAAACTGATGAAAGCTATGCATAATATCTTTGTATGCTTAAGTAAACAAGTTCGTTTCTAAGAGAAGAAAGTAAGGCAACCGCGAGTCGCTGGCATGCTTCACTGGGTAAATAAAATAATGAACCTGTAGTTTTTAATACTTTCTGTCTAAGTAAACTGATTTAATTTGAGTTGTGGGTCTCAAATTGCAAATTTTAAAAATGAGTAGTCCTAAGGGATATGTAACAATATTAAAACGAGAAAAATTCCTTGATGTGCCAGCTATGGCCGAAAACATAAAAGATCTTATCAGGGTGTTGGCTAATGTGTGGAGAATGAAGGTATTATTTATTTTCCGTATTCGTCAGTTTCATCAGAGAAATGCACTATTTATTCATTAACTTCTATTTACAAATAGAAAATGATCATGGATTGCATGGAGGCAGTGAACATGAGAACCCAAGATCAGTCAGATTTTTTGCGAGAAATAATGGGCACAAATACTCCACCAATTACAATTTCTATTCCATGTTCTTGTGATACGAAATAAAGAGAAAGTTTGATTAAATGATATTTAGCGAATTTAATTTTTTCTGTTTCGCAATGTTATTGGATTCAATTTTTTCCGATAATCGTCACGTGTTATTTATTAGACATGATAAAGTGGAGTCGCATAGCTTTTATATAGTCACACCGCAATATCGATCATCAAGAATGTGTAAATAATCTACTTCTAAACCTCAAACCATTATCAGATACTGTCAACCGGTCCCTTCATGACAATTACGGGGAGATGAATATGAAGCTAAGATGTTTATCTTGGACTTTCGCTCATAAATCATTCGGCGTCTTCCCTAATTTTAATACGATAAGTGACTACCACTGGGATGAACACGATGATCCAAATTACCTATGTTGCTTTGTCGTTTTAGGTGATTTCGAGGGAGGTAAACTGTGTTTCACGCAACTCCAGATTGTCGTTCCACTTCGTCCAGGACAAGTCGTAGCATTTTCTTCCCGTCTTTTGTTTCATGGAAATTTTCCCGTAACTCGAGGGATTCGGCACAGTATGGTTTATTTCGTTCATAGTATGTTCTTCCAACATTTGAGTGATTTTTCTTCGATATATGAAGATCCGAAAACAGGAGTTGAGCGAGATTTGAATGGATTGGTTGTTCCTATAATCTCTCAACAAGACCTAAACGATGCTCATGGATTAAATCGCCAGGTTAGACTCGACAAACCGAAAGCTAATCGGATTCGAATTCCACCGTCATCCACCGATTGTAGGAGAGGGCATATAGGTAAGTATTCCACTACGCAATGTTGACATAATTGTGTTGGTTAAAAAATAACATTAATATAATCTATTATTTTAATCTTTAGACTTGTCGCGTGCCCGACGTGGATTGAAAGCGGAAGATCCAATACCCGATAGGATGATCACTGGTTAAATAAACTTCTATGCTGATCTCTGATTCGTGGATTTAATTCACATGACATCGCTCCCCTGACGATAAATGGTTAGGATTAATTATGTATATCTTTAATCAAAAAAAAAAAAAAACCAATACTTGAATAATTAATTTTAGACGCATATACTATGTATTTTCCTGTTATTCTCAATCACGCTTAACTTTGCAACCAGCTCATCTAATGACATGTCTGTTCCGCATCTAACTTGCAACTGTTAGTCCACGAATGAAATACTCCTTGAGATATAGTTCATTAGATATGATAGCATTCTCACTCTGTGATTCGTTCATACCCAATGTGTTTGTGTACCATTTCACCATCTCAAAATATTCTTTTTCTGGAAGGGATATTTGTTTTGGTGGCGGGAGCTCTTGTGGAATATCCAATAATACATCGGTTCCATCAAGCAATGTGAGAGTATGATTGTGAAAATTCATTTTCAGACATATTTGCCTGGATCCATGGTGAACCTAATAACAGTACATGTGCAAATTCAGGTTTATTAGAAACTAAAATATCGTTAACTTCTACCTGTTTCCATTTATTGTCTTTGGATTGGAAAGGATTTATTTTATGGATTCTTCCTAATATTGTCATGCTATCTTCTATAGTTAAATTATTCGGCAATTTTTCAGATGGAAAAGGGATTAATAGTTTTGCTTCTTCTTTATGGGAGTATCAATATCTAAGCCTAGTACATCTACTAAACCCCTGCCTATAATATTACAATTGGTGGTGGTATCTAATATAGTTTTAACTGGTACTTTGTTAATTTCACAAGATAATATTCTCATCGTGACGTTTTATTATAACAATATATTTAATTCAACATTTTTAAATACATATTAATAAAATAATTTAACATTTCAATGACTGGAGCTGATAACAATATTGGACTGGCTCATCAGAATTTACAAGAGAATGATAATAAAATCGCATCACTAATAGAATCAATGAAAAAATTATCAATGGTAGGGATACAGAAGTAGTTTGTGATTCGGGTTCAGAATTTCCAATTATCACTTATGAGATTGCGAAAAAACTGGGTTTTAAAAAAGATAAAAGTTTATCCGATATTACTGATAAAGCGATATCTGATATTGTTAAGCAAATATCAGGTAAAAAAATCTGGATCCCTCTTCACAGATTACTGGAGATAATGAAACCTGAAATTCAACAAGATATTATAAACTCGATAACAAACTCAGACAATATTCAGCAACGTATCCCATGTATGGCTAAAAGAAAAAAGACATTTTTAAATGATACAGCATCTGAATCCTCATCTAGCTCTGAATCCTCATATGGGTCAGTCTCTGAATGATATAATGATGATAAAGATTTTACCATGGTGTGGTGAAAGAAAAGAGTAATTAAACATTATCATTATAAAGGCGGAATAGTCTCACTGGATCTGGAGACTGCTCTTTTTTTCCGATAATTTATCACAACGTAATGCTGTGTTGGGGAAATATTGATATCCAGGTTGTGATATAGACACTTCCTAGCAGCTGTCATAAGGTAGAATATTTTTTTATAATAAAATATATAATATATATATATATATTTATAATTTGTATTGAAAAGATAATCTAATATTATAAATCCTTTCAACCTTTTTGATTAAAATTAATAATAAATCTATTAAATTATTTACAATATAAAAAAAAAATTACTCAAAAAGTTTTTATATTTCTTAACTAATAAAGTTTTTATACTTTTATTAAAACAAATTGAAGCTTATCTTTAGAAATCATTATTATTTTATTTATTTATTTATAAACTCTTTTAAACAAAAACTTAAGTTTATAATGATATTTTTTTTTTTAAATACTGGCTCAGCCTTGTTTTATTTATATATTTGTAGCAAAATTACATAGGGAGGTTATCCTAGAACTTACTATCTGTTTTCTATCAAATAAAACTCAATAGATGATTCCCTTTATGGAAGTACTCACCTTGCAGCTTGTTGCCATCCCTAGTGAGGGGGCTAACCTGTCAAGGTTGGGCTAGTACTGAAATAAATTTCAAAGATAAAAGAGTTGTCTATAATGTTTGTAAGCCACTGGTTTATAAAGTCATTGTCACGATCTTTATTAGTGATATATCTGTACATTCATATAAAGCAACTGTCTTGACTTCAGCCACTTATATTACTCTTTATATATAGATAGACAATGTATATACTAACAAGTACTCATATATTTGCTTATATTAGTAATCTATATATATGAGTAGCTTCTATATATTTACTAATTATGTATAAACACTACCTTATCGGAAGACTGTGCAATTCCTTCTTAATTTTTCCCAGACCATTTTTATTAAGAGTAGTCTAGTTATTAGACCATTGAATTTTTTTTATCCTGAACCCAGATTTTGGTCCTTCGTAGTGATCAGTGGATTTTTCCTCCCATCAAGATCTTCCGATTGTTAAGTCTATAAGTCAAGGCATAGTCACATGCTTGAAGTTTTGAAATTGGATAAGATATTCAGTCTCTCCTTTTTCAGTGGTATGCAACTGGTTTAGGAATCTACTCTTCTTATTACCAACAAGTGATAACGGGATCCTATCAAGAATAATCTTACTCAATTTCAAATAGTAACCTGATCACAATCTTTATATAGACCATCCTGTGTTATGGAAATCTTGATTTTTGGCAAGAATCAATGAAAACTTAACAATCCTCTTGATCTGCATCAGCTATACTCAGAAACATCGGTTATATATGGTTAGGCCAATAGATGATGTATCAGATTCTACCTGCTTTTATAATCAGGGAAATCACATTAGTCCCCTGAAGAATTTGAATCTGTATCTTGTGATCTAACCTATGGAATACTAACCACTGCATTACAGATCTGTAAGTCAAGTTTCTAATGATCTAAATAGACTCAAGTATATATTTTCTTTATTAAAAACAAGAAGATTTCAGAAAGTAAAAAAATCAATTAGTGAAATATCACTTTTAAAAAATAAAATTAATATAGATATAGAGGTTTTTATAATAAAAAAAAGTTTATTATATATCTTCTTATATATTGTTTTTAGCTTTCTTAAAGTATCAATTATTTTTTATAGTTTTTTCAAAGAATTTTGTTTATTTCAGTTTAATTTTAAATTTTTAATAGTTAATATTACCTGGTATCTGATTAATTTATATAAAATGTATTAGTAAAAAGATATAAATAAGTACTTATTAATTATATTTATATATTTTCATAATATTATTGATAAAAAAAAAAAAAAACTATTAATATAAATTCAACAAAAAAACTCTTTTCACTGATCTTCTTTTTTCTTAAAAATTTTTTTTTTTTTTGATAATTTTTTTTTGAAAAAAGTAAACCTGGTCTAATACACAAGGAAAAATAATATATTTTTCAAACCAAGCTATCAAACTCTTGTAATACATATAGAATAAGCTATTTAGAAACACCAAGAAAAGAGATATATATTGTTTTACTAATTTTCTTTTACTTCTTTTTCTTAAAAATTTTTAGAAGAAAGAAAAGAGATCTATAAACTGATTCATAGTCAGAAAAAAGAAGCCAATATTAACTTCACACAATTTACAACCAGGTCAATGCATATTAATACCTTTTTTGATACTGCAAGGAATCTAATAAGCAACTAAGTTTACTTGATAATCAAGTTACTTCAGTTACTTAAAGGTCCAAAAGGATATCAAAGATAGTTTAAACATATAAATATATATAAACAATATATCTATCATCTATCTTGTCATATGAATATAATTATATAAAAGTAGACAAGCAAAACAAGTATATACATAAAAGCAGCAGACAAAATATATACATACATATATAACTTGTAATTTAAACAAATTGATCGATATTTTATACAAACATGATAATAACTTGCAAAATTTGAATAGGATCTTAATATAAACAAATAAATATATCAAAACAACACAACAAGGTTTTTCTATATTACCTAATAAAAAACATAAACAACAATAATCTTAGAAAGGTTTATTTGCAATTTAAAAATAAAATAACTAATAATATAAATAGCAATTACTGTATATGACTTATCAATCAATCTAAATCAGTAGCAAACATTAATAAAACATAATATATATTACAGATAGTTAGTAAAAGAAAAGAGAATATAGTAAATAATTTAATCAATCTCTCAATAAACATGATAAACACTCTACTTTATAGACCTCATAACAACTACTAAAACAAAGAAATAATGAACCTAGTGAATCAATAGTCTCATTATAAGAAACATATACTATTCTAGATAGTATTATAGCCAAGATACTAGAAGTTAATATAATAACCTTTTACAAGGAATGAATCCTAACTCAACATGTTATATATCTTTGGCAACAAGACAAAAGGATTAAAGAAGATTTTCTACAACCTTACATTGAATATTAGCTTATGGAAATTATCAAGAATTCTGAAAGTTAACATAAATTAAAGTGATAATCAATGGAGATCATCAAACAAATAGATAATAAATCAATAATGAATAATGAAGTAACAATTATATTCATATAGGAGATAGAATAATTAAAATCATAAAAACTCTAAGAAACAGTAAAAAGACATGTATTAGTGAATATAGCTCCTATACTACTAGGAATAGAGACATGACATCATCAACAAATCCTTACTTTATAAAAAAAAAAAGAAACTTATAGATTAGATACAATAACAGTTAATATTCTAGAAGAAACAAAAGATAAAACTAAGATATACCTAAGCAACACTCTTAAACTTTTACAAGAAGAAAGAAACTTATTATGAAAAAAGTTTGTCAATAGAAATGAGTAATTATTTTTTTAAATATAAGAGAAAGAAGATGTTATAAGATGTATTGAAGAAGTTAACTAAAAGAAAGATAACTTTGTCATTCAAAATATAATACCCTTGATCACTCACAATAAACAAAAGATAGAAAGAAATTTAGATAGAAAAGTTTTTTAAAAATCTAAAACCAAAGAAGACACTACTATCTGACATGTATGTTTAATATATGTGAATCAAAAAAATAATAAGAATCTTATAAAAGCATATCTAAAAAGATATAGAGAAGTTCAAAATACTTATATCTATAAGATAAATACAAAATTATAAGTAAAAGCCTATATAAAATGGTATAAATATCTTAGCCTAAATCCTAAAACAATTTGGCTGACTCCAAACAATACAGAAATATCAAAAGCTATATTTTCTAAGTTTGAACTCATTATTAAAAGAAATGACAACTCAGCAAAACTCCTAGGTACTGACAAAACCTATACCAGTTTAATAGCTAGAACATTGAATAATATATAAGCTAAGGTATGTCACATATCCAAAGATCTCTATACACTCAAGAAGTATAAATTTATAGTAGTTTGCTTTAAGACAAAAGAAAAAAGAGACAAGGTATGCAAACAATATATTTTCTTGTAGG